GTTTACATTTTTCTAAATGATTAATTCGTATGTTCAAATATGTTTTATTTGGATGACTAAATTTGCGTTATTCCTTGTCACTGTAATCTCTAATAATTTCACTTATTTGTCATACTTCTTATCATTTCTCAATATTTCTCTTCCATTAAGCTTTTAATTGACCTTTTTTGCTTATTATATGATACTGCTGCAGATACAGGTTTGATACGGAATGAAAAAAAAGGGAAGAATAGAAGTTTTAAATTAATACTTCTAATTCCTAAAATATTTTGTAACGTTGCAGTCAAAAAGAAAAGTGTACTTTTCATCGTAAATACAAACAGTGGTAATTCTTATACCTCCTCTCGGTTGTTCTTTCATTTTGCTCATTGCTATCACTTTCTCAGTTAAGTCTCTACATTTCTAACTTCTTTTTTTGGAATCCATATGAAACAATGTTAAATTTTTTGAGTAATTTATACATATCAACATAGGTTTCATAAGTTTTAAATTTCTTTTTACAACAGATAAACATTCTGATAATGTATTAGTTTTCTTTCTTGCTGGAACGACACGATACTTTAATTCTGTTTTATATCTTGGAGCATTCTCGTCAGATTTTAATCGAATTGAAATGAAAAGAATGAGGAAAAGATGGATTAATATCCATCCCTAAAGATGGACACCGATTTGTTTTGTAAAGTGAAATTGAAATTAAAAAAATAGAATTTAGAAAATGAATGTTGCTCATTGATTATTGTTCAAATTTATTTTGAAGACTTAAAATCGATTATTTCCATTCATCAAAATGACTCATATTGATAAATGACCCAGTACGTTATTTAAATTAAATCGATGAACATGAAAAAGAGAAAAAGATATTTAATAATTCCCGCATTATAATTCTTCGTTTGAAAAGAATCGCTATTTTAACATGGAAAAATTTATGGAATTAATTGCACAATTTTTGACAAGTACCTGTAAGAAAGTTATCAACGAAGAAGAAGCTTATTATGGGAATTAACTAGTATAATTTAAGAATTTGGGATAAAAAGTTTAATTAGAAAAAATTGTGTTTTTTTTAAATAAACTTTTTATCGCAATTTTTCTTTTTACTTTTTATTATGGCTTGGCTGAAGGAAGAAGAAGGAATATTGATATAAATTAGTATAATAATACAGGTATGAGAAAGTTATGCCGGCTAAGGATATTGATATCGCCGCTGGTACTAGCGCAGCTATTATTGTTATTAAATTCTATTGCTACTATTAAAGCATGGAATGAACGGAATTATAATCGGTGTAAGTTTTTTGAGAGGACGAAAGTTAGACAGCAGTAACTGGATATTTTAGAAATTTGAAAATTTTTGTCTTCTAGTTTGATAATTTATGATAATTCAAAAGCATTATATTTTTAGCCATATCAGTATTAATATTAAAATTATTCGAAGTAGGATTGAAAAAAATTATGCAAAATTTCTCAAGTACTAATTTTTTGAGTAATAAATAATTTTTTCTTGTGTGCTTTATAATTTTAAACATGAAAACGAAAAGATTTGAAAAATTACAATTATTATCAATCTTTGATAAAACAGGAATATATTGACCAAAATTTGAAATCAATTTGCATTTTAATATAATAATTTCATGCTATAAACAATTGATAAAAACAGCAAGAAGTGCTTATAAAGTACATGGAGAGTTTTTCATTTTAAACGAGCCTGGTATTTGAAGAGAATTCAATCAAATTTTCATTTTTCAGATCAAAATGTCGATGACTACCCTTCACATTGTTAGTTTCATAGTTCATAAATGTAGAATATTATAAAATAGTTATCTTTATGAAAAAAATTTAGTTTTTGCAAAAAATTTTCATTTTAGTATTGAAAACAATGAGATTTTGAATTTTTTGTTTGCAATAATAATTTTTTCCTTTAGTCTTTTCTTTTTTACCCGGCACTTTTTTCTCAATCTCAACTTCATCGACAAATAAATCCTTTTAATTATTGCATTTTTTCTTCAATTGTCAAAAGCACTTGGCTTTTAATTTCTGGCCAGACTCCAATTTGGCACCATAAGTCACTGAATGGTAGTTGCTGCTCCATTTTTAGCAGTACAAATTACCATTTATCCAACCGAGGAAAATATCTATGAAGGACGTGATGCTACATTTAACTGCCGTGCACGTGCTTCTGACGGAGTTACGTACCCGGAAGTACGATGGACTCGTTACGATGCACCAATGCCTTCTTCAGCGTACGAAATAGACGGACGATTAAAATTTTCATCAGCGACATCGTCTGATAGTGGACGATATGTTTGTTCAGCAACTTTTGGCGGACGAAATTATGATGCGTCTGCCCAACTGAATGTGCAACCTTGTAAGTTCTACAATGAATGAAATTAATTTGTAAGTTCTACACTGAATGAAATTAATTAATTAAATTATTGAAATATGTTAAAAGTTTGACTGAAAATTTGTTGACATCGTCAGATACGAGGCGATACATTTGTTTAGCAACTTGCGACGGACTAAGCATTAATAGCAATCCCTCTTGTCCGTCATGGCCCGCACGTAATTACCCTACTTTGTTTTAATCTCTTGGATTGAAGTTGCAACAGTGTTTTCACTTAACTTTAGTTTAACATAATATATTCTTCATGGAATTAATAAAATTTTACTGGTAATTTCCTTCTTTTGGGATGACAGTTCATTTTCATTTGCTCTTTTAAACTATAATAATTGAATTTCTGAAATAACTGATAATATTCTAATTATCTTAGTATTTGCTTTACGGTTAAATTGCTAAAATATAAAAAATTAAACTTTTATATTTCTTTTGACAAGAAAATTTTCAATTTTTCGAGTGCTAACTGTTAATATTTCAATTTTTTAAAAAGAATTTTATGATCGTAACGGTTACGTACACTATCAGTCAGTTTGTAGCACGTACACTTAATGCGTAAAATGAAAAAGACATTTCATTTCTCTTACTGATTTCTGTCTTATTTTGCTTTAATTTGAACATTGAGTTTATTATGAATTAATTATTTAACTTTCTCAAATTTATCAAAAGATTTTATTAATTATATTTACAAATGTATTTTTTAACAGATATATGCTTATTTGGCTCAACCAATTAAATACTAATATATTCAGTAAAATAATAAATGTATTCAAATGTATTTGTATTCATCAGTCTTTAACACATCGTATTGTTTTCCACTAGCTAATTTTTACTTAAAAAAAATATATATGTTTATTTATTTGTTTGTTTGTTTGTTGACTTTGAAACAAACGAATGTAATATTTTCGTTCATACACATATTATAGAATTGTTAAATAAGATGAAAGGTGAAGTGTGAAAAGGGAAGAAGCAAAAACAGTCTAAATGTTTATTATTATCAGAATATACTTCATTTTTGTTTTTGTTTGCCTTTTAAAAAAATAATAGAAAAATGAAGCAAAAAAGAAATGAAATGAACCTGTCTTTTAATTTTTAGCACTATTTGTTAACGAAAATAATGTTCAATGAGAAAAAAAGAAAAAATAGACCGGAAATAGACCAGTTTTTTTCTTTTTTTTGTGAAAAATGAAGTTGGATGAAAGGAGGAAGAAAGTAGATTGCTAAAAAGAAATAGCTTTACTGGTAGACGAAGGTTACACTTCTGAAAGTAAGAATGTTTCGATTGAAAAAAAAACAAAAATGAGTTAATATTGATGATTTTCCGTGCCACAAATCTCAAAATATTTTGCTTTGTTTTAGTCGCGATTGAGTTGTTACTTTAATGTAAATAAATATAAAGTTTATCAATCAAAAAAGATTCGTATTTTTTTGATTTTTACCAAAAAAATTTTTTTCCTCTGAAATGCTGAAATTACATGCGTTTCAATTTAATATCATATCACACATAATTTTAGCACTTTTTTCCTTTTTTAAATTCATTAGTAATGTTTTATTTGTTGAAATCTAATTCTTCTCTCTTTCTATTTATCTTTAATTTAAATTAAATTAAAATGTTCATCTGTTTACCGTTTCTTGTTACATCATAAAGAAAAAAACGGAATTTTTCCTTTAATTATAGGGATGTAAAATATTCAAACTTTTCACTGTCAAAACGTACTTTTTGATTTTATTCTAAAATATTTGACCAAAATACATTTTACTCTGCTTTTTAATTTCTTAAATGTGTGATTAGTTGATTTTGATGTTTGCAAACATCAAAAAAATGTCATCCAACTTTCCATTTAAAGTATTAATTTAAATTTAATGTGTTAACGATTACTAACTTTTTTGTTGTTTAGTGAAAAATGTTTGCAGTTTATGATTATACTGAATTTGAAAATATCATATTTTGACTAGTCTATTAAATTTTGAGATTTCTCTTTTTTGTCTGTTATGTTTCGATCTCTCCGTGTGTTAAGTGCAAGGGAAAATGTTTGCTGGGAAAAAATGAAACATTGATCTTAAATGGATCAAATTATTGTCGAAATATTTTCTTCAATATCTCATTCTTATCGAATTAGTATTTCGAACATGATCTGAGGGTACATTTACACTGAACTGAGCCATTGGAAATATTTCCGAGAAGGAAGCAATTTAATGAAATTAAGAGACTTAATAGTGATTTTATGTTATTATCATCCTATCGAATTGAAAAAGGCTGATAGTATCACAAAGGAAGAAACTTTTCCGATTTATATAAAAATGGAGTAATGAAAATATTGAAATGGGTATTTTATACTGATTTCCGGTTATTTCACTTTTCACGACAAATTTAGCGTAATGGTTTTGTGGTTATAATTTTGTGTAATGATTTTGTTTGAAATAAAATCAATTGGGGAGTGAAAATTGAGTTAGATCAGTTCCGTAGAAATATTTCGAATTAATAAACAATTGGCAGGTAAGATTTCTTTCTTGTAGCCAAGTGGTGAATTCCGATGCAATTTAATCATTTCCTTTTTTCCACTGCAGATGGACCTCAAGAGTTCCAAAGTATTCTACCGCAAACCGGCGTGTGCCGTGTTGATGAACGAGCTTGCGGTAACAACGAATGTGTAAAAAGTGATTATATTTGTGACGGTGAACCGGACTGCCGAGATCGTAGTGATGAACAGGTGTATAATTCCGTTATACTATTTGTTGAAATGAGTTAAAATTTCCTCAAAACAAATCTGATGCAACCAAAGTGAAATAAGTAACTTCTTCTATTAAGTCAGTTTTAATTTATATTTTCAGACAATAAATTCAAAGCCATACGAAAAATTTTTTTTTTGTAATGTTGCAGTGCTGATGGAAAGAGAATTTTAATAATCGGATAACCAGAAAGTAATTGGAATAATCTCAATCATTCATGAATTAGAATGGTTTTTGTTTATTTAATTGAATAAGTCACATTTCCGTGTCACGAATGTTTTAATTACAGAATTGTCCGTCATTACGTTCATGTGAACCGAATGAATATAAATGCAATAATGGTCGATGTGTGCAAAAAATGTGGCTGTGTGATGGTGACGATGATTGCGGTGATAATTCAGATGAACAAGCCTGTAGCCATCGAGCTCCGTCTGACGGTTGCGCTACGAGTGAATTCAAATGTCGCGACGGTCGACAGTGCGTTCCGCTTAGTTTCCATTGTGATGGTACCAATGATTGTCAGGATGGATCTGATGAGGTTTTTATTTTCTAATGGAAGAGATTGAATGTGGTAATATTGAAATTGAACATGATTATTCAATATGATTCGATTACTCTGCGATATGCATTTCATTACATCGAAAAAATTTTTTGTTTTATTTTTATATCTACCGATAATTTACATACGGCATTACTGCAAATAAACAGTTATTTGAATTGCTTAGTTTAAGTGACGTAGGATTTATTTTTTGAATAATGAAAGGGAGAAGTGAGAAATTGTCGCCTCAAGTTTACATTTGTTTACCGCTATTTTATGTCCATAATAAAAATTCTTACTCAAACAACTTTCTTAATGTCACCTGTAATTTGCTTTTTAATTTCTTGAAAATACAACAAAATTCTTACGATATTTTGCACAAATTAATTATTAAGAAATGAAATTTGTAACTAATTATTGAAGATTGGATGCGTACAACCAACAATTGTACAACCACCGGAAACGAATAAACAGGTGAATGCCGGTGGTACTTTCCAGTTGACATGCAAAGCGGTAGCTGTACCTGAACCATACATCAACTGGCGTCTCAACTGGGGTCCCGTTTGTAATCCACCAAGGTGTACACAGCACTCTGAGGGTGGCCTCGGTACACTTACTGTGAGTAATGCGCAGTACGTTTACTTTTCCTTTTTTTGCTTCTTAATTTTCTTTAAAAACTATGGAACGAACTTTTAACGAGAGCTATTCATTCACAAATTTACTGTCAGATCAATTTATCAATAATTGCCCTTATAGTATTAATCCCATAATATACTAATATTACTTATACCTATAAGAATAATAAGAATGTATGGTTTGCACTCTTAAAGAGAATAACGAAAAATAATAGGAATTAAGTAATTGATTATGCTATAATTATAATACTGTATTTTGCTAGTAATTAAGTTATCCGTTGAAATATACCCATTGCATAATTATTGTACGATTTTTTGTTAAATGAATCAAAGAAATAAGAGATAAGAAGAATTTAATACAAAAAATATTATTGAAATATTGAAGTATGGTTTATTCATACTTTCTAAATTAGGAGAAAAAAATTGCTGTAAGTATGCATATTATTATTACAAGTGAAATAATGCACTGTGCTTTTCTTTTTTTGAAAAGTAAATTTAACAGCTTTCAAAATTTACTGAACCATTTCACAAATGAACTCGTCTTATGTTATCGCTTTTTTCTTCCTCTTTGGCATTAAAAGATTGAAAATTTGCAGTAATTTGTAAAATGCCACACATATGAGTCATTTGCACTTCAATTTCAGAAGAGAGGAAGTTGAAATAGTAAGCTAAAAAGTATTCTGTACAATATCGAAAAAGATGCTTAGGAAAGGTGAGCAGAGTGCGGATTTATGAGAAATTCATCGAAAACAGTTGTTTCGATGAATTTCTCATAAATTATTTCAAAAAAACTATTTGTAAAAAGAAGTCTTTAAGATAATTTTTATATTTACATTTTTTTTGGAAGTTAATAAGCTTTATGAGATGAAAAAAAGTGGAAAGAAATAAAATAATTAATTTTGGATGAATATATTTGAATATTAATAGTGAAAGACCAAGAATTGGAATTTGGTTTTTAGGGTTTTTTAAGTTTATTAAAATTTTTTAGGTTTAATGAAGCGGACTTTGTAAGTCTGCCCTATTAAATTAATTAAGAACAACTTTGACGCAGTACTGAAATAAATAACTTTTAATTGAAATTCTCAATTAGAATATTCACGCCAGTAAAACGACAAAATAAATGAATTAACTGCAATTTAAATAATTCCACTACAGTTTGGATGATTGTAATTTTCAGGCCACTTGATCAAGGTGCCTACACATGCGAAGCAATTAATGTTAAGGGTCGAGTATTAGCCACACCGGATTGTATCGTTCGCATCGTTAATATTCCGGCTCCTGAAACACAAAAAAAAGCACAGTGCGATTTAGTCGGTTCTGTAAGTCCAATTCCGGATTATACAGGCCAATGTCAGTGTAAGGTTAGCTTCCTTTCAATTTTGATTGCATAAAATTGAATACAACACAAAAACCACTTTATTATGATCAATACCGCGACAATGCGCTCATAATATATGAATTGTGAGTGTCGTGCTACCGTAATATAGTTTATTTAAAAATTTTTCCAATATCTCTATTTCCTCCTCTCTTTTTTCAGCCATTGGTCGAGGGCTTAAAATGTGATTCATGTAGCCGTGGTGCATATCATTTGCATGAGAAAGCTCAACAGGGTTGCTTAAAATGTTTCTGCTTTGGTGTTACCGATCAGTGTAAATCATCATCATGGTATAGGACAAAAGTAAGCTGAATTTTATAGTTATTAGTCAGCTAATATTTCAGTTCTTTTTCAAAGTTTTTCAGAAAAGTCAGACGACAAACGCATCGTTGTTCTGACAAATTTTTACTTAAAAACTAAACTTAACGAAAGAAATCGACAAAATCATGATTAAAACAATCAAAAGTAACACATTTAAATCCTTTCCCTCTTTTCTTTGTTATTGTACTATAACTGGCAAGCGAAAGAGTTGCGCAAAAATTTGTGAACTTTTTATATTAATTGCGAATTGTGCAAAAGTTTCGATCAGTTTTAGCCGTTTGCTGATAACAATAAAAAGTGATGGAAATTATTTTCTGATAATTTTATATAGCAAAACAGTTTTCTAATAAAAATTAATCAAAATATGAATTAATTGGCAGCAAAATAGTTTGGTGATAGTAAGAGAATGGTTAATGGTATCGGTTTGGCAACAGCACTAAACTCAATAGTAAATTTGCTGCTGATAATGATCGGTGTGTTAAGTAGTAGAAGGATGATGGTGTTATTTTTAAAAATTAGATCAGTATGTTATAAGATATGTTAAATTCTTAGATATTGGTATGAAACAATAATTAAGCGGTATTATAATTACATTATAAATAAATTTGAATTATCACTAATCAGCTGTCTTATTTATGTTTTCCTTTCAGAACATCGGTTGCGTAAGTTTCATTAATCATTTTCACGCACTATTTGGTGTGCTAATTTGTTAAATTGCACTTTTTTAATGAAATTTTTTAAGCTCTGTCAAATTCAATAATTTTTAAGTGTTTTTCAACTCTTTGCTTAGTTTGAATTTCGATACATTATATATATATATATATTAGTTCATCCTAACACTATTATTATCACTAAATAGTTGTGATAACACTTAAATAGAAATGATTATTCAAATAATAAATAAATGTATCTTTTGATAAACCATAATAATTGAAATGAAGATAATAGAATTAGACCATTATAAAAATGATAATTTTTTAGGAGTAACAGTCTTATTAAGCTAGACTAAAAACTATTTTTGAAAATTATTAAACGTATATCTAAGTAATATGCATTGCCTTCAGTATTTTGTTTTAACTTACCTGATCTTTTTCAAACGTAGTTTTTTTGAAGGGAATAAATTAGAAATAGCTGGTGGAAATCATTTCATTTAAATTTTTAGCTCCTAGCTAATATTATTTGTTTTCTCTTTTATAATTTTATTTTCTATTAAAAAATTTCTTCCTCCTTAAACAGCTACAAATCAATTTATAGTGCACTTTTTTAAACAGAGTTTCTTTATTTACTGTTTGTTTGGCACATAAAAATTTGATATGTTTTATTTGGAGCTTATCACTTTTTATTTCCAATATTTATCATTTCGATTTTATTTTTTATAATTTGTCTTTTTTTAAACTGTCTCTTGTTTTTCTTTTAGGATAAGCTTATTTTGAATGGCGATTCACGAGGTGTTCAAATATCGGATATCAATGGACAAGTATATAGTTCACAGTTTGATTACAGTAAACCTGGAATGGTAACATATAGTGAACCATCCTATCAAACACTGTATTGGAAGTTACCAACACGTTTTCTTGGAAATAAGGTTTAGTTTAGTTTAGTTATGTAAATTAGTTATTATATGTGCATGTTTCTAAGATTAAAAATTCTTGTATCGTAAAATTGATTTTAAAGATTTAGAGATTATTGAAATTTCACAAATTAAATTAATTTAAATTGTATAGAAGAAAGAAATTCCAAAAAATTGCTCCTTAACACGACAGTGTTGTCAAATTTCTGCAGTATTTTGCTAGTTCATATATCAAGTAAAGCATATTTTAATATTTTACATTCGAATATTATTACTTATATTTATTAAATAAAACAGAAATGTTTCGGATTATGTATAATATTTTATTTACAGCTAACAGCTTATGGTGGTGAGCTTGCATTTGATTTACAGTATTCATGTACTGGATCAGTGAATAATGAACCGTTGATTGTCCTGAAAGTAAGTTTTTATCTTGAAATATTTATTTATTGTTATAACTAATTTTTATAAAAGCATTCAGGTGAATGTGATGAAATATTTGAAAGCCTAAAAAAGTTAGAATTTGAAAAGTGTTTGAAGATCAATAAAAGGCTAAAATTCTGTAAAACTGAATTTTATAATATGTAACTGTAAGGATATAAATGAAGTGGCTTAATTAATAGAGAGATGACATTGTTTGCGAAGAATATGTACTGATATGGCCGATAAAGGCTATTGATTTTATGGTAATCAGTGCGATAGGAGTTTATGTTATGGTAATTATATAATGAAAATTCTCGGTTATATTTCAGGGTAACGGTATAACATTGGCGCATCGTCCAATCGACACGCATATTTTTGGTTCCGATAAAACAATCCGATATGCTGTCAGTACATATGAAGTGAGCTTTTTACATTCGACATTTTTAAATAAAATCAATTAGCTGAAATAGATTTTCTTCTTCTCTTTTGGAAAAAAAGGAATTTTTTTGAATTATTTACAGGCAAATTTTGAAGAATTAAATGGAAGGCCGGTAACACGAGAAAATCTGATGATGGTACTGGCCAATGTGGATATGATGTTAATCCGTGCTACACATTGTTATGGACAACAATACACAAGGTTACGCTGTTATACATTTCATTCTAAAGCCCAATTCTTTTTTATTTAGATTTTAATTTCGTGTTACTCTTTTCGATGCACTTTTTCATCCACGAAATATTAAAATATATTCCATAAATGCAACTGTCAGATAAATATTGCAATTTTCAAACTGTCATGATTGATTTTGTTCAAAAATAAAGAAAGAATTATCAAATTTTGTTACAGGCTTGGAGATATTACTTGGGAAATAGCAGTTAATCGTGATACCCAAGAGAGATTTGCTTTGGAAGTAGAACATTGTTCTTGTCCACCAGGTTTAAAAATTCTTTTCTTCTTGCTTATTTTCAAATTGTCATTTACACAACTATTTCCTCTCTTTAGTGAATTAAATTCAAGAATTTGTCAACATTGATGTATTTTATTTTTGTTTATAAATGAGAGCAATCTTTTTATTCATGGCGCAGATTTAAGTTTAACTTTATCAAGTTTTCAGGATATACTGGATTATCCTGCGAAGACTGTGCACCAGGATATGAACGTTCACCGCAAGGTCCATACCTTGGTACTTGTGTACCTGTTGAACATCGTGCCCAATGCTCACCAGCTGGTGCACGTAGTACACATCCTGGTTATGATGGTAAATGTCAATGTAAGATGTATGCTGTAGGTGCCTTGTGTGACCGTTGTCCACCCAATACTTTCCACTTAGCATCACGAAATCCACAAGGTTGTATTCCATGCTTCTGCTCAGGAGTAACCCAACAATGCACATCTGCTAATAACTACTACAGAACTCGGGTAGTTATCGATTACAGAAAAGGTGTTACCGATCAACTGGGAATTACTACCAGCGATGCACATAGTCCATTTACGTACGTATTCTAATCTCCATTTTTCTTATTTTGTTACTTTGTAAAATTTAAAATGGCTGAAAGATTTAATAGATAATTTTTTCTATATGATATGAAATAGAATAGATAAATTCAAGATGCTTCCAAAATAATGGTAAATGTGAAGTGAATTAGTTACAATCCGCATAAGATTACTTATTGGAAATTGAATATTGTGATTATAACATCCGATGAATATTTTGAGATTATATTGCAGCAGCAGAGAGAGAATTTTATTGTACCTTAGCACCATTTTTGATTTCTGAAATAGCTTTTTGTTATCCGTGCTAATGAACAATATCATCTTTGATTCTCGAAGTAGCTTACTCCTGCTGTTGATACAAGTAAAGAAAGATATTAATCCAAATGATTGTCGTTTGTCCTTCAGACCTCAATCACAAGCGCAATTAACAGGACGTGATATAACATTTGCATCATTTTATGAAATACCCGGACAAACACTCTATTGGAAAATGCCAGAGCAGTTCCTCGGTAATAAAATTACCAGCTATGGTGGTACATTAAAATATGTCTTTCGTTATTCTGGTACTGGACCAGTAAATACTGATGTAGATGTGATCTTACGAGTATGTCTTGTTTCCTTTTTTCTTTCTCTAAGCAAATAATAGACAAATTCCCTAAACATTCATTTGCTCTAAAAAAACTGCCGTTAAACTTGAAAATAAAATGAGATTAATTTAGGAAAACAAATGAATATTTGTATATTAAAATAACATTTATGCAAAAATGAATGATTTCATTCCAATAGTTTATGTGCAAAAACAACTTTTATTTGCAATTCTCAATTTAAAAGTAATTATTTAAGTTAAGAATTTTACCGTGGATAAATTATGTTTAAGTATTTGTTTATAAATTATAGGGAAAGAAAATATGGTGAAGAAAATTTTAAGAGTTTTTTGCTTATTTGATTAATTTAAGGGCAATGATATTGCGTTACAATACACTAATCACCAACCAATTTATGCGGATCGTGAAAATACCGTTGAAGTAAGTCTTTTCGAAGATCACTGGCAACGAGTGGATGGTCAATTAGCCACACGTGAACATCTATTAATGGCATTAGCTGATCTTGATAGTTTGTTGATCAAAATGAGTTATGTGGATGAATGCTCATCCTCATCATTAATTAGTGTCTCATTAGACTATGCTGAACCGCATGCTACAGGTGGTCAAATTGCTTATGAAGTAAGTTAAAATCATTAAAATTTTTTTCAATTTATTAAATATGCTGTAAAGTTAGGGTATAGTACTGTTATTCAAATCAAGCGATAGATTGTTGTTGCATCATATAACTTGAATTTTATAAACATAATTTAATTTCTTTCGGAAATTTTATTTCAATATTACAATCGTTTTCTTTTGTATTTGGTAAAGTGATAATAAAAATGCGAAGTAATTCAATACTTAAAATTTTATTGGAATGGTTATGAAGCATTTTTAATTCGAGTCATATCTGTGATTACCTTTCATGAAGACGAATATGTTATGAATTAAAAAATAGGATAAGCATGCTAAAATTTAAGGTTGAACAATGTCAGTGTCCACCTGGTTACATTGGTACGTCCTGCGAAGATTGTGCACCCGGATATTCTCGTACAGGTGGTGGATTATACTTGGGTCTCTGTGAACGCTGTGAATGTCATGGACATGCTTCACAATGTGACAAAGTTTGTTTTTTTCTCAATTTGAATTTAGTAAGTGGAAATTATCTTTGAAATGAATATATTCGAAAATATTTGAAAATGCAAGTGGCAAATTATTCATACCATACTTTTTTCTGCAAACTTTTTTGAAGTCTCAAATTCAGAAAAAGAGATTTTGAAATTGAGATGATCAATAAACAAGATTATTCATGCTATTCATGATAGGAGCATGGATTCTGCATGGATTGCCAACATAACACGGAAGGTGATCAATGTGAACGTTGTAAACCCGGATTTACCGGGGATGCTCGTCGAGGTACCCCCCATGATTGTCAACCGGCAGCAACGAGACCTGCGTGTATGTGTAATAATCACTCACCCAGGGGGTGTGATTCATTTGGTCGATGTTTGGTTGGTTTTGTTTTTCAAAAAAAACCAGGTAGTTTTAAGATATGTCGTATATAATTTATATTTTATCAATCGAAGAAGAAGGCAATAGTAAAATTATTACTAAGCTATGCTCACTAAATAAAAGATGAAATAAAATTCTAATTTATTTTCAGATTAATTAATGAAATTACCATGCCAATATTTAAAATAATTTATATTGCTAAAAGTTCATTTCCAGCTATGTGAGCATAATACGGAAGGATATCACTGCGAACAATGCAAACGTGGATTTTTTGGTGATGCTGCACGTGGTACTCCGTTCGACTGCACACCTTGCCCGTGCCCGTAAGTTACGCTTACCGTAAATAAAACGTTATTTTATCATTTCATGCATCTATGATGCTATGTTTTTTATTGAAAAAAAGATTGAATTCTAAGAGAAGGAACATTTCAGAGGTACATCGGATTGCTTCTTAGATACCGATGGACAAGTACGGTGCCGTAATTGTCCAGCTGGTTTAACCGGACGCTTGTGTGAGGAGTAAGTTAACCGAGTTTTTCTAATTTTTAATTCAAATTTGATGAAATTAGAATGTTAAATTTAGTTTGACCTGAAATCTACATACTTTTTCTTTACGTGCCGATTTAGTTACCTTTTTTATTTTAGTTGCTAGTAATAGTACAAAAATGAAGCTGCCGTTAAAGATTCGTTTTTCTTCCTCAAGCGAATTTTATTCACGAATTCAGATGCGCACCAGGCTATACGCGTTCACGTTCACGAGCACGTGTTGATGAGGGACGTATCTGTGAACCAATTGGACATGTGGAAGAAACCAATATCGTATTCGTACCAACCCCTGAAGGTGATCGTATACGTGATCGACTTCGCTGGCAGCGTAGTCGCTTGCAGCGAAATCGTCCTTATTATCTCCTACGCAAATTACATTACTGAACAAATTTCTTAAATTTTTTCAAAAATTTCAACTTGTTAAACGAGTTGTTTTTCTATTCTTCCAATTTTCTACCCTTTGATTTACTACCAATTATTCATACTCAGATGTGTTTGTTTCTGTCACTGTTTTAGTTAGCACTTTGTTCACCCGTGTTCTTTTTGTTTTATTTTTGGTTTCCACACAAACACAAGCACATTCATTCGGGAATTTAAACTCTCATCAAAATTTGCATTTATTTTATCTAATCACTGATTAGTCAAATCTTCTTATAAAAAATATTTTTATGGCTAGGGACGAAAAAAATATTGAAAGTTTTGAATAATTATTGACATTTCAACACATATAAATTACGAACTTGATTTAATTTATACAAATATTTTCTTAAAAATTTTGAATATATTAGATTTAACGATAGTTAATGTATTGGCGAAGCCTCCGATACCGAACTCCCTGAAGGAAATTATAATCCCAATTGTCATTCATTTATCACTCTATCACGAGCTTTTAAATTTTTGTTGGCTATAAATATTGACGTAATTAGCTATTTATGCATGGTTAATATCTATGGCCGTAATGCCTTCTTCGGTCCGTTTCAAACTTCCAAGAAAATGCAATCTATCTGTCTTGATACGATATTAAAATTTTCAAGAATTTTTTTTGAAACAAATTGCTAAATTATTCGCCGTAACTGAGGCATTTGAAACAGATTTCATGAAAGGATTTCCCAGATCAAATTTGAAAAATTAGAAAATCTGCGAAATTTGAAAAAGCAAAAATCAAATTTCTGCTTTATTCCGCTTCACCTTTGTAGCTTTTACACAAATATGATTTGTCATTATTGTTATTATAATTAAAAAAGTGTTCCTAATTAACAAAAAAAGGAATCTTAATTATTACATCTTTTTTCTTGTTCTTATGTGATGGGAACATCTCAGTGTTTATCATTGTTTGTCACGATATGTATGTGTTGTCCGCTATATTTCGTCCTTTTTTTCTTCTGTAATTATTTCACAATTAATTATTACTATTTAAAAAAATTAAACAATGATATCATAGTTGCAACTGACAATATAAACTTTTTCCAGATTATCATTTTGGTGTAATCTTAAGATATGACTGTTTTAGATTTTATAGATTAACAAGATTTAAGAACAGGTGTGAAGTGCTACTAAAATATTAAGTAATAATTTCTATATTAAAATATTACATAATAATTTCCACTAGTGATTGTCACATTTCATCTTGAAAGGTTTACTTTGGAATAAATTTTCAGTTTCAAAGCTATAGTTGTGATGAATTTTAGTCAGTCAGTACATTTTTGTCATCCTAAATTTCACTTAATTTCTATATTAAATTTGAAAATTCAAACTCTTAATATACTTTGATAGTTTCATTTCGCTTAGTTAGTTACGTGGCAAATTAATTACAAATTATTCCATTACAAAAAACAATTCTCCATTCGTCTTTTTATGTGTTTATTTTAATGCGTCGTTGTCTTTCGGTGCATACAATTTTATTATTTTCGCTTTTTTTTTCTTTTACGTTCATTAGCTTTTCTAAAATTCAAGAATTTACATCATTTCAAAAATATTCAAAAATAAGGTAAAAGTAAAATTTATTAATAACCTAGCATTGGTAGATTTTATGACATACTTATATCTCAAGGGAAGATGTTAAAAAAGATTCTGGAAGAATTTCAACATTTCCAGTATAGGACAGGATCAAATTGGCAGTATTGAAAATGTTCAGAAAGAGTTATTAACTGAGTTAGAGAAGTCATAATTCTAATTGGGATTAAAATTTAAGCTTTTTATGATTATCATATTTATGAGTGAGGATGTCATCCAGGCCATCTCCTTCAGTGGATTGATTTATTCTGAGGATTTATATCTAATTATTATTATTTATAACTTCCTTTCATAATTAGTTTTAAAATAGTCGAAAGTAGTTACACATTACACGCACACGTCTGTACACACATAAAGCATGCTTAATTTTCGCTAATTTCCAAACTGTTTCAAATACAAACACAGCATGTTTTTATTTTCTACTTAATTGATTAGTTTGTAAACAATAATAGCCTTATACACGCGGTATGACAATTGTAACAGCTGGGAAGCTTCAAAAATATACTTTATGTAGTTTACCCGATTTCCGGAATATATTTCTGAGAGAATAAAAAATTCATTAAACTTATCTTTTCAGCATATGGTCCACCATTGCGCGTACAGATCGATCCCCCGAAAAATTTGAATATCCCGGTTGGCAGTAGAGCTCGTTGGTACTGTCGAGTTATTGGGCAACGTGTACTGTTCCTTTAATGTCTTTTTCCTAAGTTTTCACTTCATTTATTTATTTGTCCTTTTTCTTTCCTCTTAAATAAATTGTATAAGTATGAATGACACAAAGCTTAATTAAGTGTCATTAATCGATAACTCCTAATATTTGACGGATGAATATTTCTTGTATTTTCGATTACAGCTAAACTCTTCCCCATCGAGTTACAAATTATTCAGAAACTACATATCAGTCCCAAAACTATGAGTTCTGTTTTATGAATAGTTGATTTGAAAAATTTGAGGAAGAGAGATTAATTAAATTTTTGCTACATAAATTAATCTGTTCTTTTTTTCGTTATATAAGTATTTACGACGAAAAGGAAACGCACCATATTGCAATTTATTTGCATTTTTTTAAATGTTTCCGTTATTCTTGGCTACAATTAGCACTGATCAAAGCGATTCTTAAATTAACTTACAATTTTTTCTAAAATTTTATTTTCTATCCGTCACTTCAGATGAAAATAATTTCTAGTAAGGAGAGGTATCTTCACTTTATCTCCTTTTTAAAAATTTTTTGAATTTATTAAATTAACTTTTCTGTCTTTTACTTCTTTTCTCTCTTCTTTTTTTTTTAAATTTGCTCAAAATATCACCATTTACAACTGTCTTTTCTGCTCGAAATTATTTTTGAATTTAAATTTTGAATTTACAAAACTAAATAAAATCAGCGTAGAAATTTACATGCACATTCGGAAATAAATTGAATAAACCAATACATACTCTTGAAATGTATGCATAAAAATTTTGCAGAATTTTTTCAATCGACGTATTGAGTGTCATCGAAAGCTTATAATTTCATGTGAACGATATCACTCATTAGAACATGACAATTACCGTAATAAGTTAATTCACAACCCCAATAGATTTACTACTATTCTTAAAAAAATTTCTTTTATGTTTTTTGTTTTCTCATTTTTACTCTGAATTATTCTAATCAATAAAATTATATTTTTAAGCCTGCTGGAATTCGGTTACAATGGTCAAAAGTTGGTACTGCTGGATTGCCAAGTAATGCAGCTCAATACGATGGTGAATTAGTTATTGACGGTGTACAAGAATCTGACGTAGGTCAATATCGATGCACCGGATCCGGTGATCATCAGTTTGCTACCGATGATGCCATGCTAAATGTCGAACCAAAGCCACGAATGCCAGGTTTTCTTGTTATTGTACTTCTCTTTATAATGGGCTGACGAAATCTTTAGATGATAGAATCCGTTAATTATCATAATTCAAATTATCGTTAAGCTTCGGATTCATCTACTCTGTCTTCTTGATATGCTTGAAACTAATATAAGACATTACGCGAGATTCAAACTTACAATTAAACTGTTTGATTAGGAGAATATTTAAAGTGAATGAATAGTTCATGATATAATTATGTAGTGAATTAACCGGTTTTGTTTAAAATGCGAACAGTTTTGTTCATATGTTTTTTTAAACAAATCTACTATTCAGATGGTAGATTCTGTTCAAGCTTACTTTTTACCATTTTCTTAAAATCTAAGCATTCAAAGGCTTAATTTTTTTCGCTCTCTCTTTTTTCTATCGCAAGTAAATTCCGATTTATGACGCAACTTTTTTTGATCCAACAATTTGCTTTTAAAAAATCTGCAAAAAAATTGAAATTTAGTTACTGGAAGACCACCACCAGTGATGGTTGACCCATTGGAGCAAACAGTAAATGTTAATGATATGGTTAGTTACCGTTGTTGGGTGCCTGGATTACTGTCTTGCGAACTCAAATGGTACAAGGAAGATATCGGCGGACAGTTACCACATGGTGTATACCAAATAGGGGGTACATTAAAAATTCCTCACGCGCAGTTGGAACATGCCGGCAATTATATTTGTACCGCTTCCAATGAATATGGTGTAGGGAAATCGCCACCCGCTCGTCTAATTGTTAAGCAACGTAAGTAAAAAATAATATTTATAATATAATATATATAAAAATGGGGTAATGTTAATCTTTTAACTTTTATCCTTGATAAGAAATTCGTATTGTGATTATCACCAAATTTGCTTATTGTCGAATGGATTTGAATTATTATTTGTTGATTAATACATCTCTTTATTTTTAATTAACAAGTCTTACATAATATTAATTAAGTAGTTTTAATCTTTTTTAAGCGATTTTTTAATCCAAATTTCAAGACATAAATTATTAGTGTTAATAATTGTGGTACGATAAGCACGAGGGATAATTGATACATAAAGCATTTTTTCTTGACAGTTTGACTATTATAAGCACTTTTTGTTTACCATTATATTAGCAGTTAGCTTGAGAAAGTAAAAAAAACAGAACGTATTACAGCACCGCAGCGACCTCGAATTGATCCGCAAGAGAATATAGTTGCGGAAGGGGAACCGGCTCGTTTCCGTTGTTGGGTACCTGGTGATCCAACTGCAATTTTAACATGGAAAATGAAAGGTAACGGTCCATTACCGCACGGTACACAGCAACATGAAGGTATCTTGAATATCCCAAGTGCGCAACGTCAGCATGCCGGAAGTTACATCTGTACCGCAAGTGATCCAGCAGGCTACAAACCACCAACGGATAGTCCTGTAGCTAGGCTGGTCGTTAGACCAGGTAAGTATTCGTTCATTTATCTTGAAATAACGTCAAGGGAAATTACGTTAGATATCAAAGAAATCGGCTACATGTCACGTTGTTTCCGTGGCTTCTTGTTGTCATTTACTTCAATTCTGAAATTATAGTGTAATTAACCTTGATAGCGTATCATCATAGTTCCTTAATAGAAAGCGACACCTTTCTGTGTTTCTGAAACATCCACATTTGCTGACCTTTTCGTTTTGCTTTTGCCTTTAAATTGGTTTTAATCATGCTTGCCGTTTCATTGCACGTCGAGGTTATTATTAATATTATTTGTTTTTTATTTTTTGAAGTTTACGGACCTTCAACTCATCATCTGTCGGTGCAACCGTCGGAAGTTTTGCAAAAACCGCAGGTTGATCCTAAACATCAAATAGTATACGAAGGTGATCCGGCAATGTTCCGATGCCGGATACCATCTAATCCAAATGCACGCTTGAAGTGGTCTAGAGCAGATGGTACATCGTTACCAAGGAGTGCATTCGATGATGGTACTGGTACATTGTACTATCTGAGGGCTCACATATCAGATGCTGATTTCTACGTTTGCTTAGCTATCAGTCCTATTCATGGTCCATCACTGGAATCAGATCCGGTTGAATTAAAAGTAAAACCACACGAACGAAGAAAGAAAATTATGAAATGTAATTTTCCATATCCTTCTCGTTTTTGTTTCTTTTTGGAATAATTTCACTGAAGCACTTTTTCTCTAACAATTACAGTAGTGATGTTATTCATCACAAATTTTGCACAGCTTTCCGTAAATTTGATGAAATAGGCTTTTTTATGATATTTGCATGCAAAATTAGTTTGAATGAAAAAGTGATGGAGTTTTACTTTTGCAAAAATTTACAAAATTTTTTTCACAGTTTGATTTTTCACTTTTTTTGCAAGAAATTTCATGGTGACTATTTTTAATTTGCATTTCTGTAACACCATTATTTTTCATTACATCAATTATTTGGGAATGATTCCTTTTTCAGATGGGATTTCAATAATAATACTCTTTTAGATATACTTACTTTATTAAGCCAGTATATTAAACATAATGTCCATGTTCAGAAAGAGGTAATTTATTCTTCATTGATTCCAAAGTTTTCGCAACACTCCTCTTCAATCATTTTCAGGATATATTGGGGCCAATCTGAACTATAGGAAAGGGAAAGTGAAGAAGAAGGAAATTAGATAAGGGTTAAGACTGAATCATAACTTTAGGTTGCATTGAAAATTATGCTTAAATCATCTAGCAGTTGAAGACACTCAAAAAAGACGAACAAATTTTAAAGCATGAAAGCATAAGTATCATTCATGATCGAATATTGGTAGAGAAATTTTTTTTAAATGGCCATATTACGTCATGAGTGGAATAGAAGGAATTTGTGATTGCTCAAAAATTTGCAACATTTCGAAGTAAATGGTATGAATTATCACGCTTAGCCTCTTTTCTTCATGTTCCAGCTGAATTACCGCGGGGAGCACCAACAGTGGATCCGATGGAACAAACTGTGGAAGAAGGTGATCCCTCACAGATTCATTGTTTTGTGCATGGTGAACCGAATGTTGCGCTAAAATGGAGGAAAGAAAGTGGTGAACTACCGATTGAAGCAACTCAAAATAACGGAATTTTATATATTCCGCAAACGGAAAGTGAAGATGCCGGAAATTATATTTGTACCATGGATGATTTTCGTGGCTCACCGATCGATTCCGTCCCAGCACGTATTAACGTGAGACAGCGTATGTCGCTCTTTCCAAAACTTTAATATTTTCAATTTATTTTTAAGTTTGAATGACTGCTGCTGTCATCAGTTCACCTTATTTTTACGAAATTAGAAAAGGGAATTGAATATCCGAAGGACGTGAATGAACCATTAGGGTCTCCATTAATTCAATGTAAATTAAAACTTTTCTAATTCATAAAGTTGCTTCTTTCTGACTTTTTGAAAAGATTTAACCAACTCATTTCAAGCAATATTTGCAATTAACATTATCGCGGTTTTTAATTTATTTAATTTTCTAGTTTTAACACATACTAATTGTTTTTGTATGCACTAATTTCTCACACTAAAGCAATTCATGAAACTGAAGAACTATGCGTAGCAAATTTTTGCTCAATAGAATTTAAAACGAAGATAAAAAACATTGTAGAAGGGAAAATACCATTGGTCCTTCCGACATCCTTAACTGTCAACAAAGATGATTTGGTGCGTTTTCTATGCTATGTACCGGATAAACATGCGCAATCGCTTCGTTGGGGATTCAACGATCGAGATGGACCATTACCGGAGGGAGCATATGTGTATTACGGGGTTCTAACAATTGATAAAGCCCGTGTAACTGATACCGGAGAGTATATATGTACGGATGATGAAACATCACAAAGTGCTGCACCTGCAAGCTTAACAGTGGAAAACGGTGAAGTACAAGAAGTAGAAAATGCACATGATAGTGATGAATATAATAATCATACGGAACAACAGCGATATGGAAATCATGATACTGAACACGGGATAATGGATGAGAATGCAACTAATGAATATGATGAACATGAACATAGCAGTAATCACGATAATAGTAATCATGAACATTATACTAACCATCATATTATTGAACACGGTAACTGTTTCTTATTTTCATTTTATTTTCGTGCTTTTAGAATTTACTTGTCGTTCGTTGCTCATTTATTTAATTTAACAAACTTTTCCAATTAACTTTCTAAAATTCTTTTTTAAATCTTCACAACTTCCATTCAAGTGCTTATGTTAAATTAAGATTTAAAATTAGTATTGAAAAATGGAGTATATTTCGCTAATGAAAAACTGATAGCAACTTTAGCAAGTTACCGAATACTACAAGTTTTTACTTTTTTTTATATTATTGCACTTACCAAACACCAATAATTTTTGTTTTTGCCGAATCTAAACGAAGAATTATATTCGTTCTTCTTTCTTTAGTTTTTTAAGCTCCTTTTAATTGACAATACTTTCCTGAAGCGGATTATTTGTGGGATTCTCCCGTTGAATAATTTTTGCTACAATTGCAACTGGAATCTAATATTCAAAACATACAAGCAGATATTCTGATTTGCAAATTGGAATTCGAATTTTATAACTCACGATTGATCATTAATGGGATATATTAATGGATACTTTGATTGCAGGTGGTAAGCCACCAAAGCCGGTCGCAACACCAAGCGATCAGGTTGTCAAAGTTGGTGAAACAGCACGATTCCATTGCGATCCAAATAGCGAAGCGCCAGCAAATATTCGGTGGGGATATGAAACTCCCGATGGTCCATTACGAGGTGATGTGGTACCAGAAGGCAACGATTTGATTATCCGTTCGGCAGACAATTCAGATGCTGGTGAATACATCTGTATTGCAACCAACCAATATGGTTCCGGTGAAGCTGAACCCGTTCGACTTCATATTACTGAAAGTATGTTATTCTGTGCTATTTAAAGTTTTCCATTTGCAATAATATATAATTTCTAATCATGTTTTTTGTTTACCTTGTTTGGATTAACTTTTTTACGTATTAATTAACTCCATTGTTATTTGGTTATATATAATAATTAATCTGCTTAACTGAGATAATTTTGATTAATCAGCGGCTTAGATGTAAAATAAGGATGAAAAATTAAATAAAGTGTTTTAAACTGCAGTCATAAACTAAACTAGTAAAAACGGTTTTTTTAGAAGAAGAACCACCAACAGCACGTGTGGTACCGCGTGTTTGGAACGGACAACCCGGTGATAAGCATCAGTTGCAGTGCATTACTACTGGTTCTCCAAAACCAACTATAATTTGGACCGGACCAAATGGTGAAGCATTACCTGAAGATGTTACTGATGTTGGCAATGGTTTCTTGGATTTCCAAAATGCTCGAACTGATATGAATGGTGATTATACATGTACGGCAACTAATATTGTTGGTGAGGCTAGTGATCATGGATCCGTGAATATTGGACCTTCGCTTACCGTACGTACTAGTCCACCTGGGCCACGAATAGTTCTAACTGCTGGTGAACCACTGGAGGTTAAATGTGAAGCGTTCGGTGAACCGGAACCGGAAGTTGAATGGCTACAGTAAGAAAATTTCATAAATTTATTTAATGAAAGTTTTCTCCTACCATATAATTTCAAGTCAAGATCATCTATACAAAGAACAGAGATAGAATAGAACGTATATTTAAAATTCTTCATCGGAATCTTCATTTTTCCCTAGTAAATTTAGGTTTCTTTCTTTTAATTCACTAGAGGTCCATTTTTTAGTGACCCAGGACCAGAGCGAGGAGATCTACCAGATGATTTCAAACCGGTCACAATTTCGGAGCAATTCATTCGGCATCCAAATATTGGACTTGGTAATGCCGGTGTATATACATGCAGAGGTAGCAACACTCAAGCTTCAGCTAAGAAGGACATTTATATCGAAGGTATGCTAAGTTTAGCTGGAGTTAAAATCAACTAATTTTAGTAACAAAAAATATTTGTGGATGAATTGAGCCTACATACAGGTATGAAATTTGGCATTAATAGCATTATTCAATTAACGGAAACCCTAATATAACAAAATTTAATGTTTATTTCTTTGCTTCATTAAAATAAGTTATGTGAGAATTTTTTTTAACTTTATTTAGAGTTAATAATACAAGCGATGTTCCATTGCTTAGTGTTACAGTTGTGGAACCATCGAAGATAGCAACAGTTTCGATTCTTGGTGGTTCAACGCAATGGTTCGAGCCTGGGAGGTCAGCTGACTTGATATGTGCTGCAACGGGTAGCGAGATTGTTGATCGTATCCAGTGGGTCAAAGTTGACGGTGCATTGCCGGATAATATAAAAGAGACGGAACTTGGAATTTTGCACATCTCTAAGTTTAGGGTAAGAATTTGTTCAACATCTATGATAGCTTAAATGCAATATTTATCAAATCTCGCGTATTCCTTCTCTTTTCCTCATTATAAAAAAGGAGAGAGTAATTTTTAATTTTTCCCTTTTTAATAAAGGTTGTAATTGATTATTTCCTATATATTTTGTTAATTAAAACAGTGTAACTGATAAATTGGTTAGGGTTACGCAATACTTTTGTTGAAATATAAATTGCTTTAATATTTAATCTAATTCTGTAAATTGAATAAATTTATTTGGGCAGAAATTTATAAATTGCAGTGGGATCAATTTGTATATCTATTTTAACCTGTAGAAATTTTATTTGTTGAATTACGCCATGTGCTTTTTCTTTCTAGTATCATTTATCATTTAGACTTTTTGATTGCATTTAGTAATATACAGTTAATCATAATTAATAAACATTAAGCTATTTCTCAAGGATATTATCTTATAATTATAATCTGTTGCAAGATTTAATTATTATTATTTATCTATCATTTCATGAAGTAATTATACAAATTAATTTATTAATATTTTTTACAGTAGATTTTTCTGAAATTTCATTAAAATTTTTGTCATTTATTATAGCAATCAGATAGTGGTGAATATGAATGTCGCGGATATCGTCACAATGAATTAGTGGGAAGTAATCGTGTTACAATACATGCTACCAATTTAGCTCCATTAGATATAGCACGAGTAGAAATTGATTCTCCAGTTGTTCGTGTTATTGATCAGGGTGAATCTATTAAGCTTACATGTACCGTTGAAGGTAAGTTTTTCAAAATTTTAAATTTCACTTCATAACTCTTAATATTTTATTCTGTTG